GCTGGYGTCACTGTGGCTGCAACGCATGCAACTTTAAAGCACAGGCRTACGAGTCCCACTTGAAATGGGTCGCTCCTTTGTACGCCAGCACAGCAAATAGTGTCCTGCAACGGAAAATGTCACCTCTGGGAAATCAACAGCTCGCTCTTAACGACCACCCAACCAATGATGTAGACTTACGCAGCGTACTCGCCAACGCGAATTCACACCTAAAGCGGAAAGCATACACAGCGTTTGTACACTATACATATATCAAGTAGTAGTTATTGTTTCGGTATTGTAATGAAACTGCGAACCGTCGGGTGTTTTAATTATTCATTTTTATGGTRGCTTGAATGAGTGAATACGAGTACGTGCTCACGGTACGGCAGCCGAACGTGAATATGCACGTGGCTGCTTGGGACACAATTTCCCATAGAGGTGTATGTGGTATAAAATTTCACACATCACGAACTTCTTTTGCGACRGGGAATTAAATTGGAGTGACATAGTGTAGGCACAGGACAAGTTGTAATGCCTTTTGAAATAATTTCGCGTGAAATGAGTACTATTATGAGCATTGTGTATTATGAGCACTTTGTTGTAACGAAGTTTGTACGAAGTAGCTCATATTCTAAACCGCCATGAAAGCGTGCGGTTTGAAACTTAACTGCTGTGCTTTCAACGTARTACTCGAGTGGCATATAAATACTGCTCCCAGAGAGAAAAGAGATATTTACGTGAGAAAAGCGACGATTTGTATGGAAAATAAATAACTTTAGGGCGTGCTTCAGTTTCATTGTTTTAAAAAGAAAATCTTGGAAGACGAATTTAAGAAATGCTCTAACTTTTGAGCTTTTGTGTAAACTATTACTAAAAGCCTTKTCGTTTTAAGAACGAACTACTTGGTTCATTATTTTTCATTTCAGTGGTTATTATATAGTCGTCTCACACTTTAAGCATGATCTTATTAGTAGTGTCAGCAGGTTTTGAGCGATGTGATAATAGACCGGTCCTTACTCCGCCCAATCACATCTTACTAATTTCAGGAATTTCTTTTTCCATTGCTTSCTTCAATCTTATCAGTTGTTGACAGTAATATGTAAAATCAATCGTTCGAYTTGGCTGGAACAGCTTACCTTTCCCATCCCAACAAACACTCAGCMTTACCTCTCGAGGCGTCAATACTGTCTTTGCAACCAYWTTTTTGAGCTTCACCACGCTGGGGACCATAATCTTTTTCGCACATTTCACTTGATTCACTTTTCGYCTCCTGTTAAAATTCGCTTCAGAAATGGTTCGATTTCACAGTTTGGTGATGAATGTTAAGTTCTTTAGCGATGTCATGGCTGCTTATGTGACGGTTCTGGTCAATATTTTCCATAATTTCATCGACTTTTTCCACAATAGGGCTRCCAGAGCGGGATACATGTGCTACACAAACTATTATAATATCGTCTCCRTAAACTTCACAAATTTGATTGGCAAAGTTCTTMATTTTTTCACTCATTTCTGAACAGCTGTAACTTTTTTMAACTTCCCCGAATTTAATTTTTTTGGTTAAATAAAGTTTAAAATCTCACCTTTCCAACACTATATGGTATACAGAATGTGATTGGTAAAAACTTGTTTTTCGACCTACTTTGACGTGGTTTTTCGTCATCGCTTTGCCGCGATATTCCGCCGATTGATCGTCTGTTTCATCAGAACATACTATATATGTATGTAGATATCCTCATATTCGGAATATCGTGGCTAGAGGAAGGTATATACCGATATTAAATAGATTTGGACATAAGTTAGAGCTCAATTTTGGGCTCTTTTTGAYAAGCTTCGATATCGAGACCTAAGGAAAATATGTATGGTCGTGAACGAGTTCGCTCATTTTCTGAACAAACAATGTGCGTTCCAAAGTAAACAGGACTTAAAAAAAAAAAATAAATAAATAAACAGAACAAATACTCTTTTGGGCCGGTGCAAGCCTTTGAATGATCTCTATGTCTGCATAACGCTTTCCTTTCATGGGCAAATGAATTTTTCCGAAAAGGAAGAAGTGGTTAATGGTTAAAATGTGATTTTTGATCAAATAATCACCAAAGGTGTCAAAACACCAAGGTAGAATACCGCATTAACGTTTTTTCCGGGTGGAATAAATTCTTTGTGGATAATACCCTTGGAATCTTAAAAACAAATCAGCATTATTTTTACTTTTGACTTCTCTATGCGCGATTTTTTGGGTTTCGGCTCGTCCGGTGCCTTCCATTCAGTATTCTAACGTTTCGTTTCAGGAAACACCACCAGTCACAATATTGTAAAAGAAGTTTTTGTCCTTTTTGACCTCCTTAATGATGTCCTTCGAATGTTGGATTCCGAGCAATTTTTGGTCGTCAGTCAATTTCTGCGGAACAAACTGTGCACACACCTTTCGTAAGCCCAAAAGTTCGGTCAAAATGGGACAGATCGATATTTTGGAGATATTCAATGCCATTTCCATGAATTTCAATGATGATTTCGGCTGTTTTTTTTTGAGAGGGTTTTTTGAGGGATTCACGTACAGTTTCGCTGGAATTTCCGGTGATCACGGATTTTGATTGGCCCACAGTGTGATCGTCGTTTATGTCCTCACAACCACTTTGAAAACGTTGAAACCACTTGTGCACTCTGCTACGGGATAAGCGATAATTGCCATAAACTTGTTTCATCAATTGAAACGTTTCGGTAAAAGTTTAACCAATTTTAAAACAAAATGTAATATTGGCTCTTTGTTCGAAGCTCATTTTCGCACCGATGGCACAAACATACTGACACTAAAACGCAATAACTTCTATTCACCAATAGATGAAATGTCATAAAATTYACACTGGACAATCGATGAAGATAGCAGATTCTAACGGATTACTTGACATATAGATGGCGCCACCATGGGGGCGCTAGATTCCTGTTTACTTTGAAACGCATCTTGTATCATATCGCACAACAAAATTGATCAAAATCGGTTGAGCAGTTTAAAAGATTTGAAATTTCAGCATATGATATGAACAACATTCAAGTTTTGAGTAGTCCACATGTAAACTTGTTTTAGCATCTGCATAGTCGAATTTAGTATAAAATTTTGAGTAGTCAACCTTTTAGCGGGAGCTTGTTGAAGTAAGTTGATAGTTTTCTAGCATCATGAGACGACGTGAACTGGTTTTCTTTATACAAAATGATTAATGATCAGACAACGAGTAAAGGGTCCAACGTTTGTTGCGAACWAATTTCGTACTTAATTTACTTAATGCATTTTTAAGATATTAACTTTAAAAAATTTTCTTCGACATTTAAATTTACACATACATATGTACATACATTCAGAAGTACCAAATACCCGTAACCAAAAATAAAAAAAAAAAAAAAACCAAAAAAATGCTGAAAGCATTTGCCGGCTTCACTTCGGTATGAAAACATATTTATGTCGAATTTATATGTATGTAAGTGTCATGTATCTGTCCACAGGCGCCTCCGAGTATGTGCGGTCATATTTTATTTTGTACCATGTCGACAAGGGAATAGTTAATAATTGCAGATTACACAAGTGTCTCGTGTTTTGACAAATTACATTCTTGCCGCAGAGAAATATCACCTGTTGCCACAAACCAATGTAACCAGCAGATAAATAAAATGTAAAGAGGCTGCTGATAAACGGAATATGTTGGCGTACATATACATAGAAGCTTATATGTATTTATGACTGTRTGTACGATGTAAGATACTTATAAGAATAGTGTATTATTAATTGCATCTGTGGTCTTATGTATTTGCAAAAACAACTAACTATACTACCACAGTGGGCGTCAGTGAAACACTCTGTAATCACAGTCAAGCTCATATGTTGGAATAACGGTATGATACGCCTTGTGTACCCAAAATAAGAGAAATCGGCTAAACAAACTGAGAGATTGAAATATTTTTCAGATGTTTGCTTGAGAGTAGGTGGATATCCTGACGAGATAGCTAGGCCTTTAGGAAGATCATTGTGAAAGTATCGAAACTAAAATCCACTCACTCTATTGTCATCTCTGAACCTTTCTGAGGTCGTGATGAAGTTCATCAATACTGTTTTTTTTTTTCAAAATTATGTCCATTTTTTTAATGTAGGCGTTTTTTGATTTGACCAAATCTTGAGCACTATAAATCGAACAAGAAACTGGTATAAAACTCATATGCTGGTAGAAACAAAGCAAATAGTCTGAATAGCAATCTACAATAAAGTACCATGGGAATATCGAATATGTGGAATATAAGAGGTTGTCAAAAAAGTCTTGCGGYATTTTTTAATATTTTTTAAATTTTTTATTTTATAACGGTTTGATGACTCATGCCCAGCTCCTGACCAATGCTACGGCTGCTACTATGCCGGTCTCTTTCGACCAATTCAGCGATTTTATTGACAGGTCCTCCGGAGCGTGGCGCATCTTCGACCACCTCTACACCAGAAMKAAAACGTTGAAGCCATCGTTGTGCGGTGGAATTGGAAAGTGTATCGGGTCCATAAACTGCACAAATTTTATTGGCGGCTCGAGATGCATTTGTGACTTTATCGTAGTAGTACTGTAAAATATGCCGCATTTTCTCTTTATTTTGCTCCATGTTTGCGACACTATAACTCAAGAACGACTTAGAAGAAACAGCAATCAATCAAACGCGTGTTAGCGCGTGAAATAAGCTTTCCATAAAGGTATAGCATGACTCGATGCGACTAGAACGAGAACTACGCGCTCTCAGCGACAACTAGCGAAAATACCGCAATACTTTTTTGACAACTATAATAATATATGAATTAATGGCATASTTATTGCTCGTAGAAAAGATCAGGTTCCAACGTGGCGAATCGAAGATACCTATTAGTTTAAATACAAATGTATTTAACAGTTATTGTTGCATTAAAATTAAATCACAGTCTTTAATTATTTTATAAAAAATGTATGTTCAAAAACACAATTCCACAATTACACTAAAATTGTTATATTTATATTTTTCAGGAGGACGCTAATAATATCAATTCGCAATACTATGTTCCCGGCACATTGACACGTCAAAAACAGGAGGAATTGGGAACGCCAGACGCCGTACAGGAAACACGACGCTCACATGTCAAACATAAGCAYGAAAAAGGTACGAATTTAGAAATAGACCAGCTTCGTTGTAAGTTAATAAAATGGATTAGGATTTAGAAAAAAGGCTGTTATAAACCAATTGAATTTTATTTGAATTATTTCATATTGATTATACATAGGTATTGTATCAAATCTGGAAGGTACTCAATATAATAGAAAATATTTAGAATGATTGGTGTCCATAATAAATAAAATCGTTTCACGTATTATTACTGATTGTCCTCAAAAAGTCACTTTCTGTTATGACCTATGGGCAGAGAGAGTCTTTATTCCATATTTCTTCAAAAAAGAAGTCGGCTTTAATGTTCGTGCGAATGAGGGACACTATAGACTCATGATTAATGTCAATGACCAATTTGGTTCCAATAAGACGGCAATACACGCTATACAGCTAACAAAATAATAAATTTATTGAAATAAACTTTTGGCGACCAGCTTTTCTTGAGTCGCGATAAATCGTGCGATTAACACTCCTGACTTTTTTTTTTGTGCGGTTGTGAAGACGCTTGTCTACGAAGATAAGCCTGAGGGGTTTGACGTCTTGTAAAGGAAAAAAGTGGTCGAAAATTGGGGCTTTCGGCTGATATTTAATCGAGCCAGACGCATTGGTCGCTTGTCCAAAGTAATTTTTAAAAATAATGACAAATCCATACCTTTGTAATAAAGGCAAATTCATGGCCATAACACAAATTATATGCGTTCTAGGAAAGGGAAAGAAAGGGATCTTAACATCATTTTAATATAATACGTCTTCGTCTTAAACTTCAAACTTACATTGCAATCCGGACAAGACCAGATTTACTTTTCTTTATTAGAACCGCTTTAAAGTAGCAAAAATTTAAGTCACCGCGAAGCTGACGTTTATTTGCTCGTATGCCTAAAAAATTAATTAAATTTCCAAGCCTTTAAAATTAGTCATTTATTAAGTGCTTCTATTAAGCACATATCAGAGAACTTTGTCCATACCACGCCCACTAATCGCTTTTGACATCTCTTTGCAGCTTTGGCCAGCGAACACGTTAAGCAAATTCGTAGCGAAGCCGCTTGTCGTGTACCACAACGACGCGTCGAACGCATACAGCGCGACCCCTCAAAGACCTACACGCCGCACTGTACGGTGCTCCACCGATGCACCGACGAGACTGGTTGTTGCCGCAGCGAACGTCAAACGTGTGCACCGAAACGCACAAAAAACGTCGATTTGTATTTCTATGTGAGTATGAATGTGAGCAGAAAAAAATAAAATATTTCACAATTTTTTGTGTCGGTTCGCGGGTGTCAATACGTCACCAGATCGGTTTGCGTTTGCACCGCGATAGTGATTCAACGCTGCGGCGTTCTAAAGCATAAATTTATGCTTATATGTGTTTGGCGGTTTGAATGCGTGTGTGTRACTGGTGCTGGCTGGTGAATTATATSCAGCCAGGCAGACTGGTAGTCAAGCAATCGCGCAGCCAAGATAATGAGGTCACTTGCCAGGCTATTGATTAATTGCCAATGCGTTCGGTTGGCGCGAGTTAAGCTGTTCTAGCTCGGTGTTGTTTTTGTTAAGTCAACGGAATTTCGTTCTGCCACCGAAAACGTGTGCTATATAGTCACACACCTACATACATATATATATATGTATATTCATACATAAGTGATTTGGTAGTGCTTATTAGTTCTGAAGTTATGCAGTCACATTCCGCACTTTAGCGCCCCTCGGATATTAACTGCACCGCTATTCGCTATTCGCACAAATAACATGTGACTATGAATTTTGCAATGAAAAGTTCCAAGAATTATGCCAACAAAAATATTGAAAACTCAAGTGGATTTTTTATTGATATGTATCTACAGTATGTACTATAAGTATATACTAGTAAGTTTGAAAATTTTTAGAGTGACAGACTGAGTGTCTGACGACACATCGATACCTTTAGGAAGCTTGTTGAGAAACTATCGGGACTAGTATGCTGCCAAGTAAATATGACCTCTCTGAGCTACCCATTGCTCTTAATGAAGTTCAGCAGAGTATTATCTGTGCATCATCCCTCGAACGATAGTTAGGACCCTCCTATTAATTTCAAGATAGCCGACTTTGTCTGAATGACTAAGTAAGGGATATGGATGTCAACAAAATGCAATAAAACAATCGAAAATCGTATACACATCATCTGTGGAAACTCAAAATTCGCGATACTTGTTCTATAAACCTCGTATTGAACTCCTAGTAAATAACATACAAAAAGAAAGGCCTAGTGGCTTGCAAGTAAGAATATCTATTAGCTATATCTATAGCCGCAAATCATGCTAATCATTTCCATCTAAATACATCGGTTATTTTCGCTTTCAATAGTCTGATGCTGATGTTGAGAAACCAGACATAAAATCCTTAATTTATCAAACACAGAAATCGCCTATAACATCAATATTTCATAGATGACTGAAAAGCAATTTTGTAGAAAGAAGTTTCAGTCTTTTGGTTAAATTTATAAATGTCGAAAACCCCCACTATTTTGTTAAGGTCGGTGCAACTGAGCACTCTATACAGACTTTTCCATTATTATTATATGAGCGCCCAGAAGCACCGCACCAGATGTAGTACAATTCGTCAGGTCTTCGAAACACATTTCCATTTGGGGAACAAGAAAAAATCGCACGAGCTAGATCTGGTAAATACGGTGGTTAACACTTGCCTTACGATTTTCAAGCACCATATTTTTCACTTTTTTAAATATTTTTATTAGTTGAAAAGTCGAAAGTCCTCCAGAACGAAGCACGTCTTCAACGATCCCTCGCCTAAACTTGTATTTTTGATAAAAAGAATTACCTTAAGCCTTTCTAACATTCGCAATGTTTCCGCATATGAAATTTGGTTAGACATACAAAATTAGAGACACATTTTTTGTTCGATATTTTTATCCAATGTAAAAATCGCAATGCACTGCTGAGGTRTGCCGATTTAATCAGGTCCTGTATACAAACTGGTTGTCGGATAGCGCGCATATTTCACATAGTAATAAAGGAGTTCTGCTTTCTCCAGACTCGAAARCGAAGCAAAGCAAATAGGTTTGGCAGTGAACGAGGGCAAGACGAATTATCTCCTGTCATCAAACAAACAGTCGTCGCACCCGAGATTTGGCTCTCACGTCACCTTTGACAGTCATAACTTCATAGTCGTAAATAATTTCGTCTATTTTGGATCCAACATTAACACCCACAATAACGTCAGCCTCGAAATTCAACGCAGAATAACTCTTGCCAACAGGTGCTATTTCGGACTGAGTAGGCAATTGAGAAGTAAAATTCTCTCTCGACGAACAAAAACCAAACTCTATAAGTCACTCATAATTCCCGTCCTGCCATATGGTGCAGAGGCTTGGACGATATCAACAACGGATGAGTCAACGCTGCGAGTTTTTCAGAGAAAAGTTCTGCGAAAGATTTATGAACGATGAGCTGTACGAGATATACGACGACATTAACATAGTTCAGCGAATTAAAAGACAGCGGCTACGCTGACTGCGTCATGTTGTACGAATGGATGAAACACTCCAGCTCKGAAAGTATTCGACGTAGCATTCGCCGGGGAAGCAGAGGATGAGGCAGACCTCCACTCCGTTGGAAGGACCAGGTGGAGAARGACCTGGCTTCGCTTGGCATATCCAATTGCCGCCACGTATCGAAAAAAGAAACGACTGGCGCGCTGTTGTTAACTCGGCTATAAYSGCGTAAGCGGTGTCTACGCCAGTAAAGAAGAAGAAGAATTAAGGACAGTCCTTCCAACTTAGCAAAATATATGTATATTCTAATATCATTTAYCCGGGGAATTTAATTACAMTTTCCGGGTGCTTTTTTGTACAAATATATGTGCGACGAWCATCCCTTATTTAACGTGTTTTTAGATAGCTCCAATATTCCGGTAACTTGGAAACGGCTGTCGTGGGAATTGGAACGAATGAACGAAATATTCTCATCGATCATATGGTAGACTATATAATTCTTAGTTTACGATACATAGTATGCGAGGTGTGCTCAAAAAGTATCGCGAATTTTGGGTTTTTTCAAAAATTATTTATTTATTCATGAATATCTATTTTGTCCCCTTCAAAGTAAGCCCCATGAGATATTATACACTTGTGCCAACGGTTTTTCTAATCTTCGAAGCACTTCAAAATATCATTTTCTTTTAATCTTCTTCAGCTCCTCCTTSGATGCCATCTTTATCTCGTCAAGAGRAGCGTAACGTCGTCCTTTCATGGGCCTCTTCAGTTTAGGGAACARGAAAAAGTCACAGGGGCCAGATCTGGGGAGTATGGTGGCTGCGGCATCATTAGTGTGTTGTTTTTGGCCAAAAAGTCGCCCACAAGCAATGATGTGTGAGCAGGGGCGTTATCGTGGTGCAAAAGCCAATTTTTGTCACATCTTCTCGGCCTTCTGAGAACATTTTGTATCACCGATAAACGTTGCTTCGGTCCAAGGAGGAGGAATGCATCCGGAGGAGGAATGCATCCACGCACTTAATTTCGTTTTTCACACAAAATTTGATACAGGTTCTTTGATCCATTTCTTTGAATAGGTAAAAATCGAAGGCGTACCAAAACACGTGCAAGCAAAGTAGCTGTCAACAATTAAATGAACATTCAAAAAGGCCGAGCTTGTCGGCATAAGTGAGAGATATGAGTACCAACATAACGCCACAAAAAATTCGAAATTCGAATATACGTAACCCGCGAAAATTCAAAATTCGCAATACTTTTGGAACACACCTCGTATACATATACATTAAGTCTAGTAGAGGGCGTAAACATTTCTAAAATGATATAAGCCTCACAATCACCTCCGAATTTCGCCAACATGAATTATCGATCGCCAAGTTTGAATACTATATCATATTATTTAACTTTTTTTATCCAATAATTTAAGGTGTTGCAAATAACCATKAACTGCACCAATCTACAACATGTGAATTATTAGTTTAAATTGAGCCATTCATCAATTTGACCTTTAATATTGCGACTTCACTTTAATTTTTAAATATATACAGTTAAATTTTAGACAAATGTCATATAGTTTAGACGATATACAGTTACAAATATAACATATCGCGTGATCGCTTGCTTAGCTAATGTAGTTATCACCAGACAGATAGTTGTCGTTGCATTGGTTGGTGTCAGTTTCGTTGTGGCTATCAGTCAAATCTCACCGAATGGGAGTAAAAAATGATCGCATCAGCTCCACTGCCCACATCACCGGTTGTTATGCAAACTCATAAACGCCTCATTGCCAGTCAAACAGGCCAAGTGTGTAAGCAGTCCGGAGCAGACAGACAGTTCGTGGTTAGTGCGGGCTTTGTGCAGACCGATAGCACTGTAGATAAGTGCCACAGATACATTTACATGTGTAGTAATAGCGGCACAGACAGGCATAGAGAGAATATGTCTTTTTCCAGCTGATACGAAATGTGAGTAAATTAATTAAATAGCTTTGAATGACGGAAATCTGCATATTATGGCCCACGGGCGTTTAGCGGTGAAGGTGGCAGCGACGTTGACTCGTCGTTGACTTCTGTGGCCAGCCGCTGTGGCGTGCAGTGCTTAGGGAAAATCAGGAGTTGTTCGTGGCATAATTGGGTGGCCCGGCCTGGTCGTCGGTGGGCCGGTGATAGATTTCGTTTATTGAATGCCGCCGCCGCCGCCGCTGCACGAAGCGTGAGTGAGTGATTGCAGAGTGGCAAGGTTGCGCGCACGTGGGTGGCACAGCAGCGCATGCGGCGTGGAAAGTAAATAAGTTGTTTGACTGCCGCTTGTTTTTATGGCATTTGATGGTGCCTCAAGGATTTTTCGCTTTGCCACAGCTTGACCGGCGTGTYGCCCAGCAGCGCMAATGCTMGTAAGTTTGTGTATTTGTCGGCGCCATGATCGCCTGCTGGTCCGTTGCTGTGACGGTTGTTTGTTTTATTTGCTCCACGTCAACGGATAATGTGCATATCAATTTATTATGCAATTTCATTTGCAGTTTAGAGGCTTACGTGCCTATGTATGTACCTGTGTGTATGTCTGGGCCAAAGTGTGTGTTTATAAATTCGTTTATACATATGTACATATGTACATATATTTATTTATTTGCTCTTTCTCCAGCGTTGTTTGATGGTTTTCGTCTGAAAGCAATTTGTAGGATTTGCAATTTAATTGCATTCGATTTATGAGCGGATTAACTTGAAGCACCTACGCGTCATGACGGCGGTCACTAACGGTGAAAGTGCAACAGGTGGTTGTAAGAGCCTCCGCTAACTGGCATCAAGTGTTGTTTTGGAGATTTACTCAGTTGTGGCATGCCACGCAGTAGACTGCGGAATGCACATGGGAATGTGCTTTGTGAACTTTATCGATTGATAAGCGATTTTTTTTGGAATTTTTTATAGTTGAATCGGTATAAGGCTATCAAGTGTAAGAATTTTACCGGGAAAGACGGAAGTGATGTTGTGTTTCAAAGCAAATAAGAAGTATAACTGGCATAATGGTTGGATTATTGGTTATTACCAGGTACACTGAATGGTGTTAATATAAAAAAAGAAAAAAAAAAAATTGTTAATTTCGGTTGCCTCAAACACCATTCACAAATACAAAAGATTCCGTACAAGAGTTTAGTTTTGATTAATCAGTTTGTTGTTTGGAGCCAATTGGAGATTCCAAGTGTAGTCAGATCGTTCTCCACCTGGTCTTTTCCACGGAGTGGAGGTTATCCTCTTCCTCTGCTTCCCGCAGCGGGTACTGTGTCGACTACTTTCAGAGCTGGAGCTTTTCCATCTATTCCAACGGCACCACCTAGCCAGCGTAGCCGCTGTCTCTTAATGTGTAATAAAATATTCTATTTGTAAAAGAAGTATGAAATTTCACGCCGAAAACTTTTGGTTCTTCCCCCACGACAATGCACCCTCGCATACTGCATCGATAGTGTAAATTTATTAAGTACTTTTGTGCACTTTTGTGAAAATATGGACGAGTTATGGAAAGATTACCATTGCACAGTCTACTTCTGGGAACCATGTCACAATATAATCACAATACATAATATAATGGATGTGGATGTAATCGAGCCACACTAAGATCTACTTCCGATATAATTTCATTTTGAAACCGATTATTCCATTGGGCAGCAGATAAGTCAAGCTTTGATCCAGTTATCGAGCTCTAAGTTATCGGCCGAACTTGCAGCAAACATATTTTACTTAACTTTCTAAAAAGTGATGATAATGTCTTATAGTACCTTCATTTTCGAGGACATTATTGTGATTAGGTTTCCTAAATGCTCGAAATCGTCTAATATGTTCCCATAGTCCCTATATACCGACCACTTCTTATTTAGACTTGATCTGAGGTTTACTTGTTGAGATTATTTTCCTCTGCATATTACGATTAGGTACTTAATTTATGTGACATTAGGTAAGGTTAGATTTCGGGCCGATAACCGCGAAGAAGACCACATTTCTCTTGAAAAAATTCTAGAATCAAGTTTCTTTTGAAAAAATTGAAGAACCGGTCCTTCCTAAGGGGAAAACTTTAAAATGTGAAGCAGGAGAGATGTTTTGACGAAGTTGATTGCGCTATTCACAAATAACATCGCTTCAAACTAATTCACTCAGCTCATTCAAGACGTTGCAACTTAAATCTAGCGATATAGTGTTAGCGTTGAATTTCTTCTTGAACTTCTTTCCTTACCTCTAACCCTCATATAACAAATATATGAATTTTTATCGAGAAGAAAGTGTCGAGTAGATTTTTCCTTGCCTTCGTTCAAACAACTTTAACTCTCGGATGACATTTGTTTCTTAAAAAAAATTACAGATGTGAGTCCGTACTTGTTCCTATACGAAATGTTTTGGCTTTTGTCCATTCAGATAGCTTTGTATATATAATATATTATTCGGATCATTTTGTAAATTTTATCATAATATGATTTGGTACCAATATTGGCGCATATTGGTTTCTATTTACATTTAGTATACGCATGATCCCTCGTAAAAAATATACTGATCCGCTTGACTTCTCATAGCAGTTCAGCGGCTAACACTGAGGTGTTTTCTTGTATTATTAAGAACGATATAAAGGATGTTGTTTTTAGTGTTGTAGCGCCATAAAACAAACCTGAAGCAATTTCGACTAATGGKGCCGAGTKGACAGTGCTTGGCCGGATAAAAGTCYGAGTCCGTTCGGGTTACTTATACCCGACTGTGCTGGGAATATTTTAGAGAATATTTAGATAGTATACAGGATATATTTCAGCGTTGAAGKTTAGGTTAGGTGTTTTCCTATAAGATATGAACGTGTCTTTCTTAAAAACAAACTCGATTCTCTTTACTTCAATAAATTCGTAAACTGTGCTCTCAAATATGTTTTATTCATATTTGTATGGTTTCAATCTAAAACTGTTGGTTTAGAATCAAAAAAAAAAAAAAAAAAAAAATCTTACAAGTATATAGGTTGGATAAATTTCTTTGGAGTGATGCTACTATGACCTGTCTCTTATACACATCTAGATGTGTATAAGAGACAGGTTACAGAGCATCAATGAAAAGGGTGGCACCGTTGAACGTTTAACATTCGTTAATCACACAGAATGTCACTGTGTGGACAAGACGCGACAACAGGTCGACGAATACCACAATATGGCAATGTATGACATGACCTATGGCGGACAGACAATGCGACAYGCAACGATAGTCAACTGTAATTGCCCCAAATTGTATGAGAAAATATTGCAAGAAGACGGCTTTTGTCGCTGCGATTGCTCGTCTGGCAACACCGGCTGTGACTGGCTCAAACGCGGCATGGAGCATTTCTCGATGATCGATCGCAAGTGAGTACATTCGCTTTATAGCATTCAAATCAGMAATTTATTGTGTACAAAATATTAATTAAAAATTTTTAATTTCTTGCACGCAGATGCATAAGCGAGGGCCGCTGTAAGCTGCCCACATGTGAGCACGGCAACTACATCAAAAAGTTTGGACGCTGTCCGCGGCGCGAGGAGCAGTTGCCAGCCGCCTTGACTGAGCCGATGATGATGGCGACGAACGCGCTCTCCAACAGTGATTACCATTGAAACGAAATATTCATTAGACATGCATTTTATTGCAAAATGAAATGAAACTAAAATTAAGTATTAATAACTTTTAATAATTAATATAATTAATTTATTCGATACAAATTAGACGAAACTACTTATAAAGGATGGGAATACGAGTGCGAAGAAATTCAAATTCAAAAAAAAAAAAAAAAAAAAAAAAAAAAAATTAATGGCGAATTTGTTGGAGTTAAATGGAGGGAGAATTGAAATTTTTTTGAAGAAAATACTCAAAAGAGATAACGTACAATAATAAGCAGCAAAATGAAATTTATGCATTAATAATTAAATGTGATTTAAAATTTTAAACTTAAACTCGCATAAGTCAAGAATACATACTTTCCAGTTTGATGCAAAACGTATGCATACATTATATATCGTCACTTAAATTGCAAAACARCAAGTCATCAGAAAATTTTAAACTGAGTTACTTATTGCTTACGGTTCACTACATCCTATTACATACATATATTTATGTAGCATAACCTTTAACCGATATATAACCAATATATAACCACTATATAACCGTTATATAACCAAAACTCAAATTTTGTTTATATGAAATGTCTCTATTATTACGTTTTTCCTTCGCCTGTAAACTCATTTTCAACCACTGCTTTTAGGTATAACCGTTATATAACCAATTTATAACCAAAACTCAAATTTTGTTTATATGAGATGTTTCTATTATTACGTTTTTTCTTCGCCTGTAAACTCATTTTCAACCACCGCTGTCAGGTAAAACCGTTATATAACCAATTTATAACCAAAACTCAAATTTTGTTTATATGAGATGTCTCTATTATTACGTTTTTCCTTCGCCTGTAAATTTAATTTCAATCACCGCTGTCAGATATAACCGTTATATAACCAATTTATAACCAAAACTCAAATTTTGTTTATATGAGATGTCTCTNTGCAAAACAGCAAGTCATCAGAAAATTTTAAACTGAGTTACTTATTGCTTACGGTTCACTACATCCTATTACATACATATATTTATGTAGCATAAACTTTAACCGATATGTAACCAATATATAACCACTATATAACCGTTATATAACCAAAACTCAAATTTTGTTTATATGAGATGTCTCTATTATTACGTTTTTCGTTCGCCTGTAAATTTAATTTCAATCACCGCTGTCAGATATAACCGATATGTAACCAATTTATAACCAAAACTTAAATTTTGTTTATATGAAATGTCTCTATTATTACGTTTTTCCTTCGCCTGTAAACTCATTTTCAACCACCGCTGTCAGGTATAACCGTTATATAACCAAGTTATAACCAAAACTCAAATTTTGTTTCTATTCTATCGGTTTTTCTTCACTTGTAAAGTTATTAGAAGTGATGTTTGCATTTTAGACGACGATGTATACTAATATAAATATGTATGTGCTTTAGGGTGGTTAAAAATAAAATAAAAAATTTAAATTTTTTGAACCCACCCTTATGTATACACATATTATATCATACCATATATGCATGTGTATGTATCATTTGTACTAAAMACTGTGTGCGCACCCTAATGCATTTAGCGAGTGCTTTAACTCCCATCAATTATCACTTATAAACTTCCATGTAAGCAATGCATGCAATTTACATTGTTTTAATGTACGAAACCTAGACATATGATTTGAGAAGACTTTTAAAAGCGAACTTTTTACTAAKTATATACATACCTACATAMWTACACACTTACATATGTAGTGAATTGTAGTTGAYGATAAATAAATATCAATCAAATACGCTATTTAATAGAATTTATCTAAAATTRTTGTTAAACGTTACACAACTAAAATTAATAAATAAATAAATAWTATTAATAATAGTATTAAAGCATATTACACACATACACAAATATACAAGTTGTGCATTTGTAAAGTTACAGCGCTAGTTTTACTTACTATTATTGAAACACTGAGAAAAATKAAAAGCAATTCCATTGATATTTTGACTGCGTTAATTTAGTAATATGTAACTAATGTTAAAACACTTTAAATATACACGCATTAAAATTAGACGAATTTAAGCATTTATGTACATACATATGTACATGCCTATATACTTTAAGTTATGTTTATTAACTAATGATTTTTTGTACATTTTTCTACTGTCTGCAATAATTAAACTACATTTTTTAACTGGTATTAGTCACAAGTGTATAAGAAACTAGTATTTTCTGCTGAATTAAGCTCAACACACTCTTAACAGCAAATGTGTGTACATACTTATTAGTTTTTTTTTTTTATTTTTTTTTTTATTTTTATTTTTCCATATACTTTGTACTGTATAAGCAATTATTTAAGTTTTTAATTTATTTTCTAGTCAATTATTTTAGTTATTTTGTATATGTATATTTATGATGTGTTTATAAATAARTATTTATAAGACTAGCTATTTTGAATTACACAAATATACACATACTATCTATCATATAATTAGCTCAGAGCATGCCTGTATGTGTGCACTCCAAACTTTTTAGCAACTAGAYCAACTATTTTCGAATTAATGAGGGTGTGCTAGCTAGTAGCAGCTATAGAAATGAGAAAAATGTTACTTCCAAAGCAGTGTGTTCTTAAGTATGGCTCGGTCAAGTGATTTCAGACTTTTTCCCATTTCAGTTTTCAACTTCAAAGCTTAAAACTGCGCAGAAGGCGAGGGAAATTAAAAACTAATCTAATATTATACTCCACAAGAACCGATCCTTCCTCTGCGTTGCAAAGAAACAGTTTCGCTATAGATTAGTATTTGTTGAGAAAAGTATATTAACCGTTTTAAAGACGTRAGCTGTCTTCGATTCGTCATTTCTTTGCTCGCCATGTCAAAACTCCGCTTCCATATCAACAGAAGTCACAAAAGAAAGCCACAACAAAGGTGTCTAGTTTATTTAAATACAAAAGATAATCTTGATTTGATATTAAAGTGTTAAACACGCCTTAAATTCTAGCTTCTCTTGATTATAACACTCTATTGAATTTATACCAGTTCTCTAATTGATTTAGCTTAAATTAGGAAACAACAACAAAGGTGTCCAGACGTGCTCAATGTGTCTWCCCATCATATTCTATTGCCTTTTGTATATTTGTATATATTTATGAAGTTTATACCAATAGTTTGTTCATTGCATTAAACATTCTAAATTTGGCGAATTTAAGTTTGGTTTGTTGAAATGCAAAAGAATATGTGGATACCATAGCCAAATGCTATAAAAATTTGAAATGTAATATTATTTTGATTATGCCAGTTTATTTAATTTATACTAGTTCCCTAATATATTCAATTTAAATGAGAAAACAGCAAAAAAGATATTTAGATGAACTTAATGTCTCATATTCATATCCCATCGCTTTTTTTATAGCTGTTTTTGGAGTTTATACCAATTGCTTCTTCGTTTTAATATTTTAAAAATTTTGGTGTATAGAAGCCTGATTTGAATAAATGCATAATAGTATGTTGATAGCCTTAAAAAACAGTATAAATATTAGTAATTTAATATTTTCCTCACTGTGACAGTTTATTAATTTATACCAGTYCCTTAATCGCTTCAATTTAAATGAAAAATCAGCAAAAAAAGCTTCTAGAAAAACTCAGTGAAACAGAGTGTCTTACAACCATGTTCAATATCTTTTGATGTCTGTCTGTATAATTTATACCAGTTGTTTGTTTGTTTCATTACTCAACTAAAGATTTGACGAGTCGAAGTCTAGTTTATTTAATTGAAAAAAGAGTCATTTAAACTGTAGTGTATTATGCCGGTCTATTTAATTTATACCAGTTCCCTAATCGATGCAATTTAGCAAAAACGGTTTCTAGTTGAACTCATTGAAACAGTTCGTCTTCCCATCATATTCGGCATTTTTTTGTATGTCTGTTAATGTTTATACCAGTTGCACGTTCATTTTAATACTTTGCTAAATTAGACCAATCAAAGTTTGGTTTATAAATGTAAATAAACAAAAGTATGTGGCCACCTTAATAAAATGGTATAAACCCTCGAAATTTTATCTCTGCTTTATTACGCCTGTGTATTACGTATACCAGTTCYTTTCTCGATTTCATTTTAATGGTGTCTATTTTAATAAAAAAGATTACCTGCCTAGCATGTTCTATCTCTATTTGTTTATGAGAGCCTGCATGACTTACACCAATTGKGTGTTCGCTTCGTCACTTCGTTTCTGTACTATTCAAGTTTTTACGAAATGAAGCCCGTTGCCAATTGGCATGCTGTTCGAGTAAAAGCTCGGGGCACAATGCTTAACCTTGGGTTCAACTATATTAGAGATCAATCATAGTAACACATTACTAATAATATTGTACCCATCTAAGACTATTTAAGAGACTTTTTAAGACCTACAATTTTCAACATAATAATATCCATATACATTTTTTTTTYTTACTTTGGCTCGACTAAAAAATCAATTTAGAACGGTTTCTTTAAATTTTTAATTACATAAAAATATTATTTGATATTCGTAACCATATGTTCAGAGTAAGGTACAAAAATATTTTGCTTTCACGAAAACACGRAAAGTAACATAGAAAACTTTGATTTGATCGATTACTGAGAGAGTAGTATATTTTGTCTGGAATACTGTCCAATTTTAAATTATTAAATACTCAATTTTACTTACCATTAACAATAATAGCGTACTATATAAGGCTTTATTTTTAGCTGCTTTTTTTTACCAAAACTGCCTTGCGATCCCGCTGYCTAACTCACCATTCTGAATTATTGTAAGAATTAGTTGCGAAACTGTAAGAAAATTGAAATACAAAAAGAGATTAGTTGAAAGTAGCACAAATCTCTTAAAAAAAAAAAAACAAATTTCTTTAGAGAACCATGAATAGGCCTACTTCCTTAAAATATGTATGTTCGAAAATTTTTTCAAATTAAAAAAAAAAAAATTTTTAATAGACTCTTATAATTCCATAAAATCACGAAACTGCCAGAAATGTATTCTCGAACAGAAGAGCTGCTGCATTGCATCTGATATTCATTGATGATTACTTTCCTTCTTAATTCCTAACACCAGTCCCTAAAGCAGTACACTGATTCAATTTATATTGTTATGTCTGACTCAAAAAATTCCGAAGTTGCTTTACATTAAAGAAGTTTAAGTTGTGAAGATTTCGTGTTAGATCTATAGAAGTAGCTTCTTATATAACGAAAACATGTCACATTTGGTGAAGTAATCACTGATCAGTAAATACTCATCGGACAAATCGCCAAATGCTTTCAGAAAGACCAGTCTGTACTAAACACYATAATTTTTTTGATTTGACATTTGGTGTGAAGGTGTGATTCGATTTTTTCATGYCTCACTGTCTGTCCATYCATCTRTATAMACGCGAATCTCCCAKTTTTTGAGATATRGATCTGAAAATGTTCAKAAATTACATCACATCGAGGCRCAAGAGTCACCAAAGCATTGGCCTAGCACGGTGACTTCTTTCCTTTTATATAGCCAGCTGACAGCTAGTTTACCGTGAGGTTATC